TTTCCCTAATATACAATGTTCTTTGTTTTTACAATACCTACATCGTAAATTTACATAATAGTATATTAATACTTGAAACATATGTAACACAGACAAATTATAATGTAGTTTTCACCCTAAACGGTAAACAGGAAAGTAAAATTTGGGAAAACACATAGTTATAGAATATGCCCCATTTTTTTACATTTGCATGGGCCATTATTGTAGATTGTGCTAATGCCTTATCCCAAACAAAGCAATTGTGTTGATTTTTATCTTTTTTGATTGATTGTTTTATATTCAAAATAAAGCTATTTTCATGTATTAAGACTGATTTTATTCCTACTAAAATTCAATACATGTTCGCATGTTCATATTGTAGTTATTTGATAGTAGTTTTTTTTTATTGGTTTGCATTTTACACGCTTATAGTATGGTGACCATCTTAGCGCAGGAATTTTTTGAAGTTCAAATGGGTATGATCTAGTTAATGTCATACTCGTAATGTTATTCCATATTCATATGGGAGTCTGTTAAAAACAGATTGCAATTCAAATTCCAGATTTAAAATACAGTATTCCTTCAGAAAATATTCCCAGCTGTAAAATTGACTCTTATGAACTACAACAGCTAGAACACATGTACTAGAGTGGTCACATGTGATCAGGTAAACACCAAATAATGTATTATGAGATATCATGATTCATAAAGTTGTATATCATATATACATATTATGTAAAAAACATAAATTCGTTTACAAAACTACTTACGATAAGTTATGTAATATTGTTTTTCAGTGTACCAAATGTTGTTGACATAAAACAACAACTTGAGTTTTGGCCACGATTTTTGGCCATACTATTATCGGGTACCAGAACGGAATAGAGTATAGCGTTGCGCATTGTTGCATCGGAAAAGTCGGTGTACGCAGATCCCGACGTATTAAAAAACATTACCAGTAATTTTACTCTCCCCCAGGTGTGCCAGACTATAGTTGATTGGTCTAGATTCAAGCCCCTAGTATCAACCCAATATTTCCGCCAATGTATATAGAAAACGAATGCCCACACAAAATTCGTTATCTCTAGTTTTGCTTTCGTATTTTCCAGCTATATCGAGCAGTGTAGCGTGAATATGGCTTCACTTGATTTAGTTTCTCATCAGTTTGATCTAGTTTGATCTCAATTAATGAACGGGATAATTGTATGTGATCAAAAGAGTACATAAAAAATCTCGGAACACTCATTGATCGACATGTAAAGGTCGTTCAGGTATAGATAAGAGGTGTGGTTGTGTTTATAACTATTGAAGCAGAAAGTTTAAATCACCTGAACTAATATTCTCTATAATTCTGATCAACAGAAAGATGGCGTCAAGCATGTTGAATATGAAAAATAAGCCAAGTAGGATAAACAACTTAGTCTAAACAAGATGCGAGATTTCGAGACGTAGCATTGTCAAGTGGGTGGGGTCTTAATTTATTTGTTAAATATGTTCCTAGTTAAGTTTCTTCTGAGAGTAGTCAACTTGTGGCGTACTTGACCTTTTACGAAATGATGGCAACTTTGCGTAGTAGGAATTACTTAACGCCATTGTATTCTAACTTCATGCAGTAGCAAGCATGCATATATTTGCAGCATTGATTAGTCCATGCATTTGCAGGCTAGCCTTATAATCCGTATTCATTGACTCTTTCTTTTTTTATTGTTTTGAGTATATAAATGTAACGTCAAGTAGGTCAACTCTGCACGCCCCACGAAATGCAAAAGCAACGATGTTTTTTCGTTTTTTTTTACACAGATTCAGTCGCGCAAGCCTAAGTGGCAGGACACCGCGGCTGCTATGAGGATCCCAAAGAAATATTATTATTCCAATTTTTGAACTACCTAAGAGTAGTAAAACTTGGAAAAGCCTCCTCTTGTAGATAGTCCCACAATATCGACACCCTCGGAAGGAAGGAGAGGTCATATCGGCATATTTTGTATGTACAAAGTTCGACACGGTTTTATTTTATTTATACTTTATCCTTAAATTCATTCTTCCGTATATTTTGGAATAATTTAATTAGTTATTGTCAATTCTCATCTTCGTAACAGGCTTTCCATCTATAACATCATGTAATATCATGATCCTCTTCATTAAAAAATGGAATTTACAGACATTAATGGAAAAAACAAGGAAAGGAACGGGGGAGACGGCCAAATTAATATCTTTGATGCAAAAGAAAGTTGTTGCCCCAGTTTTGAGAAAAGTATAAAGTATACTTCGATGTCCTCCATCAGAATAAATGGATTTTGGATCCAGGCACCCTTTATGCAGGGTGTCCCAATATTCTGTGATGACTGTTATGCATGACCTACATTTTGTGATAACGATTATTTTGGCCTACAAAAAATTACCGCTAGAAAGCTCAAGGTTGCCTCAATTTCGGAACTCGATTCTGTTACTGTGGTCAACATAGCTTGGTATACACATTCTCTAAAGCAACCCTCATAAAAAAAAAAATTGTGGATTCAGGTCCAACGACCTTGAAATCAGGCCGCGCCGTTTGAATCACCTTTACGAATATTGCATTTTTGTAATCGAAATGGTCTCGGTCTGACCAAGTGTCATGTGCTGGCGTATTATTTAATATCATTATGTTTGCCTTATTTACAGACGTGGGGATGGTTTTTCTTATGAACTCAAACTTCAGAATAATTTCCATATAGGTTTCTCCCAATTCACGTACAACAGAATCTCCTCGTCGAAATCCATCTGAGATCTGACATTGTCACCTTCTCTGTAACCTGTCTTCTGAGTATGCTCGATTGTCAATCAAAATATTCTGATTAAGTTCTGATGCAACATACTAATAGGTACTCAGTTTATTTTCTGTAGGTTAGAAACATATTTTATGACAAAATGTAGGTCATGCATAACAGCCAATGGTATCCATTACACTGATATCTTAAATGTAGATTATCATTTAATATCAATCCTGGCCATTTTTTTTTTATCCAAATCCAAGCCATATTAATAGATTTTCAGTATGAACACTTACCTTTTAAGGACATTAAACCACGCATAAGGACACCATCCCTTTGTGGTTATTTATTTTTCCAATTTATTCACTTGTAGATTCACAAATTATACAAATACTGTGAATAAATTATTATTATTATTATATGTTACTATATTCTGATGTCTACGAAAACTGCCCCTCCTCCATTACAACTGCAATAAAACGAAAAAACAGCAAAGGCCCAATAACAATAATAAAATTTAATAATTGACAATGGTTGGCCAACTTTTTAGACAAATTGGGACAGTGTTCGTACTCAATCCTCTCACTCGACACGGTGTCGAAGTCAGACGTGAAAAGGGGTATTAATGAAAATTCAGACTTTGCTATGTCTTTTATGTAGGTTTTTCGCCGTCTCAAGGAAAAATGATGCTGGACGAGATGAAACTCTCTAACGCTAATTCAGGGTTTTTTTAAATAAAACTGGTTCAAAAAAGTTGATATCTATAGAAATGGCATGGGATTAACTATTTATGCACCAGTTTTTAAAAACATGTATGCTGGAAATCTCAAAAACTATAGGTTTCTAATAAAACAAAATTCGACCATATAGTAGGGCATAACGTGACCTATCTACAGTTTGCAGGCACAAACACATAAGACTGCACGTTAAACAACGGCAACACCGTTGACGTTTTGTCAGATGGTTGCGCCGCCTACTTGCCTGGAGATCTGGAAGAACTATCGAAGGAATTCAAAGAATGTGCCGGGAGGTTAGGAACGCTAGGAATGTGCCGAGGATTTATTTTGTTTACAATTTAAAATCTGCTGAAAGTGATATGTCCCATATTGAAGAAATATTTTATGAGCATAGAGCATAAAATATCCTCAATAAAGGAAATACCTGATTCAGAAGTTTTGGTGGTAACCAATTTTGGGATAATAAAAAATAAATGCGTAATTAATAAAATATTTATTAAATAGTTAAATATATGAATAATAATAAGTAATAATTTATGATCACAGTACTTGACAATATATAAAGGTACTTTTAGGCATCTTGAGCTTTCTCCATATTATTAAGTGAATAAGTGATGTTTCAAAAAAAAATCACAAATCATACATTAGTAGCATAAAAAACGATAAAAAGGGACCCTCATTAATCAAAGGAAGTGTTTAGCAAGCACTACCTATTGTTAATCCATCATGAGGTATATTTATGACTGAAACGTAAACATTCATACTAGAACAACAAAAAATAAATCTCTAGTTAAATAAATAACTGAAATAAAATATAATCTGAGAAAACATTATTTTTTATAGTGTAAAAATGAGGAAAATTTTCTTCAAAGAAGAAATCAAAGTTAAAAATTAATAAGACATTCCTCATACTTAAAACCAAAAGCTCCTGATGGCTTCAACATTACAGGGAGTAACAAAATAAATAATTATCCTTCGTCCAACTGCGCCCTTCCAAGGATGATGCAACTATGAAACGAAAAAAATATTGTTGAGGTATAATATCACAGTAGTATTTGGTTACTAAAAGTAAATAGAAAATTCAATGAACGAAGAGTGCTGGACTACATAAAAAGCATCACCTGACTTTATCTGTCTTGAATTTCTTATTTGTTGATATATGACTATTAGTAGTCTCACCACTCCTTTCCAAAGAATTTCTCTTTACATACTTGTAAATTTCCAACCGAGCAGTTTTTTTCAATTATACTTATACATATGCTGCTGACAAAAGCTGTAATTTTGAAGGATGCAGGAATACTTCCGTCTAAATCTAACTTGCAGTTGGTCTTCTGTACCATGCTGCTCTAAAAAAGCATACAACTTTTAATCCAGAAGAACAATCAGGTTAATTAAATCTTCACTTGCATACTTCAATCGCTTTTCCTCATCATGCTCTTTAAACGTCACAAATAGATGTTTTTCAGTGACAACCAAAGAAAATAGCCTTGCACAGGATTCACAATTACTATCAATTTTGAGTCTGTCCAAAATTTACCCAGTCACATAACCATTTGAAGGATTCCATTCAACAGAACTGTCCATCATTTCTATGTCAGAGTCACTTAGAATCTCAGGGTTTAAATCAAGCACTGTATCATTACTTTGGTCATATTCATCCAAAAAGTGACTGAAATCGACCAAAGTATCACAAAAATCGATTTCACAATTACCTGTAGGAAAAGGTGTGCTGAAATTATTAATAACTACTGTTTTTAAGGCAGCAACAACTGATGACAGGTGGGATTTGTATTGAAGATACCATGCTGTCTTATTTGACCAAATAAATTTTCCAGGGAATCTTGATTTAAATTTTCAAACAAAGATATTTCAAGCCCTTCTCCTTAAGATCCCTCCATAGTGACATAACAGATGTAATTGTTATTCGCCAGCCTTCAACAAATTTGAAATAGTTTGATTTGTCAACCCCACCGACAATGAAGATTGATTTTAATTTGGATAGCCTTGAGCAAACATTCCTGTGGACTTTATACACAATTGATTCCTTAGGGCACTATTCCTTCTTTGATGTACCAGATTTTGTTAATATGCCAGAGCCCTTCTCTAACAAAAAAGAATATTTATCTAAATAATTAGATTCTGTTCTAGAACCACTTCCACTGATTTCATTGTTTTGATCTTCCAGAATAACACTGGAATTTCCATTTTGCTCAGAAGGGGTTGGATTTGTGTTAGCCGCTCCAGAAAGAGGGTGACTGAATAAAACCCTAGATACTGAACTGGGACTTGGTTTAGTAGGATGATTATTTAAATTTGTATTGGGGGACACTGGTATTGCAAGATATCTGTGACGTGAAGGAAAAAATGATCCTCACAAACATAATAATTGGAAACTTTACGAGTGGGAGATATCTTACAAGCTGCCTTCCATGCAGCAACAGTTTTTTTCATCTTTTGGTAAACGATGGAATACTTTATTTTTGTATATACAATAAGATTTCCGAACAATGTGGAAATAGGAATTTTTGCAAGAAGGATATTTGCATGAGTACTTTAAAGTAACGATGTACGAAGAGGCAACCCCAAATCCAGACATGACTGATTAATAAAAAAAAACAAGCTTATTGAAGTATGCAATCTCAAGTATTCCTGCACACAATCACAAGTGTTTTACATTGAAAAATATATGACAAAGGTTATTATTACTATTATTATATGAATATTATGAACGATAATTTCTCGATTGGGAATTAAATCCATAATTAAAAATTGAATGTGTAGCTTACCCAAAACAAAAAAAACAAAATATAAGTTTCCAAGGAAGGTCAAACTGTCGTTTGTCAAAAAATCAAACTCTGTTGGTAAGAAAGTGTCCTAGATTTTGCCTGGAGATTTATGTGTTTTGTATCTGGAGAGAATGACCTTGGTTTTGCCAGTTCGCCCTGATTGCAGAATTATCCTTCAATTTCGGGATACCCTGTATATGTTAAATCCTTAATTTTGTTTGCAAAAAATGTTGAGTGTGCAATCTTGAACGAACAAAACGAACAGGATGACGTGTTATAGCGCCATCTCCTCCATAGCATCATAAACCTTGCTCCCACATAAATAAAATCAATACATATACATATAACCTCCAACAGAAATCTTTTTCTCTATTCCAGTATGGAACTTCACCAGCAGTATAAGCTAGTGACACTTGATGGAGTAAATATAGCTTATGATAAATGCCTACCCTCTACATTGCTCACACACATAATATATGAAAGAGAAACGTTGAGTCAAGTAGATTGAGTCAGCAGGCATTGTATCCAAATTATGCGTACTTACAAGTTCAAAACACCCCGAAAGAGTAAGAACATTTGGGAAAGAGTAGGCCAAAGTCATGTTATTTAAAATTTTGTACCTGTCCGAAAAAAGTCCATGAGTATGACTGTTACGCAACATGAAAATACAAAATAGGAATTGAAAGGATCAGAGTACGTCTAATTTCAGTAATTATGGTTGAAGTTCTGATTCATGGACATCCAGCAACATTGTAAGTAGTGATCGAGCTCGTAATATTCCAGCTAAGTAATTAAATAATATCACTTATTAAGATCCTCTTGTGTCCACCGTATATAGATACTTACAATTTCTCTCCACGTTTGTACAATTCTCCTTTTGGCACTTCTTTGTTATTGACATGTAATAATTTCGATTAGTTAAGACAATCGTGGGTGGAATATAATATACCGAATTTTTTTGGGGCTGTAAGCTCTAATGAATTTGAAAAATGCTTTTGAGTTGATACGAGCAACTACCAGGCTGCAATCAGTTCATCATTGCTGTAGTTGCCAAAGTCAGGGCTATAAGGTGGATGATCCAACACTTGGATTATAGGTGATTCAGAAACTGTTAACTGAGCGCGATGCGTCGGCGGATTGTTGATGTGAAGATACCACGAGCGCAGCGGCGACATATATCTTAAGTTTTTCAAAGCTATAAATAGTTGTGATGAAAAAAATGTGTGTATCATTTAACAGTGTCTTCTGTTTATCAGGTACTAAACCCAATTTTCTGAAAAAGACACGATCATTATTTTTCCAACCAACACCTAGTCTTTCAAGTGATGTTCACTTCAAATGGCTTCGGCTATATCCTTTTGCTGGAACATTCAAAAACGTAAATTGCAACCTTATCACCCACCATTCGTCAGTTAATATGTGGAGTACCCAAAGGCTACAAAGTTTCGGGACATTTCCTATGAATGCATACAATGTTTTATACAGGGTGTTTCAGTTTATTGTTGCATAACTTTAAGATTCGATAGAAATTTTAAAATTAATGCATAAAGTCTATATAAACATGGGTCGAAAAATGCGTGGCTTCCGAAATACAGGGTGTTCAAATTTACTTTCTAAAATAGTTTTTTTTTTTAATATTTCGAACAATATTTGATTGATAACGGTGAAAATTGGTATACAAGATTTTTTTGGTACGACAAAACGAACCATGGGCATAGTTTCACTGAAGCCGCTAGAGGGCGCTCTCTACTGTAGTGTATTAAAATGACCGAAAATTTTTTCTTAGTGCAATTTTTTGCTTTTTGAATAAAAAAACTGATTCTTCATACTTTTCTGCATAAAAAAGCTCTCCTGTGAGTTTTCGTTATAGTTAGCCGTTTTTGAGATATTTCGATTTTTAAGGTTCGATGCATTTTTAATTATTTATGGGAAAATAATATTTTTTTTACATTCTCGATTTGGCCATTACAAGTAATTAAGATGATCGTTTAGATTGTGTTTTTAAACACAGCAATAATTCCTAACTCCAAATAAACACAAAAAAACAGAATATTAATTTGCTTAATTTTCCAATATTATTTTTAACAAATTAAATTAATTATTTACAACTAAAATGCTATTGGATAGTCAGGACAAACATACAAAATCTAAAGTGGTTGCTCGAAATGTAAACCCAATTGTTCAATACACAATTCACATCTACGAATGATCGAACGTGGTATAGCATTATTCAAATAAGGCCTTATTTCATCACATGCATTCCTGATTCTGTCTATTAGCATATCTCTTGTGGTTACGGGAGTCTGGTACACTTTTTCTTTTAGAAATCCCCACACCAATATGTTGATTATGAAAATTTACCACTCCACGTCTAGTGAAGCATGACCCATCGGTCCATAAAACGTTATTCAAAAACTCCCTATTATCATCAGTTCTATCAAGAATCCACTGACAAAATGTTATTCTTCGTTCTCCGTCCCCTGGCTGTAGTCCTTGCACAGGTTGCAAATGGTAAGGACGCCTATGCTCATTTCTAAGAACACGGTGAGCATGGCTTGCTGAAATTCCCAAGGCACCAAAACCTCTCCTAACACTTGTAGTCGGATCTCTATCAAACTCACGCAGAATCATACGGGTAAATCTGCGCTGACGAACATTTATGTTTTGATCCGTTTGGAGATTTCCAAAACCATTTTCAATTATTTGGCGATGCACTCTCACAAATACTGATCGAGTTGGATGTCGTCTGTTTGGAAATCTTCGTGCGTATTCTCTGGCTGCTTCTGCTGCGTTTCCATTTACAAAGCCATACACAAAATAAATATCCGCTATCTCTTGATTGGAGAATAAAACTGGCATTTTTATAAAACTTACAAAAAAAAAACAGGTAAAAGAAACTAAATTTCGTGCATTCACAATTGCAAAAAAACGACAACAAAACTAACTGGCAACATTTAACCTTATTCTGCTTTCAATTTCAAAAATATTTGCAGGCACAGCCTACTTCTAAAAATTATCGAGATACTGACTTTTTAACGTTATTTTATCATAAATAATTAAAAATGCATCGAACCTTAAAAATCGAAATATCTCAAAAACGGCTAACTATACTAAGTGACATATAAATCCGAACACCCAGTTTAAATGGTTTTATTTTAATAAAAGTTGGTGAATTTATTTATCTTACTGTAAATAACAAGTGAAAAAATTTTCAGCCTTATCAGTTGGACATTCCGGTTTTTATACTGCTTTTTTTAATTCACTAACGCTCTAAAAATGAATATTTCAGCCGCAGTAAAGAATCAACGTTGGCGGATTTTGGTTCTTGACATCCTTTACGATCGGTTACGATGCCTAGAGTACGGAGACCTGTACGATTTCGTCAACTTAGTGAGTTTGATAGGGGCCGTATAGTGGGACTTCGGGAAGCTGGACTTTCTTTTCGGGCAATTGCAGTTAGAGTGCAAAGAAGTGTAGACACTGTGGTTAGGTGTTGTCAGGCATGGCTTCGAGAAAGCCGTACGCAAAGAGCAAGGGGCACTGGGCGCCGCCGTAGAACAACATACCGTGAAGATCGCCGCCTAAGATTATTGGCCTTAAGGGACCGTTTCTCCACTACCAGGTGCATTGCAAATGAATGGTTTGCACACAGACCTATTGGCATGCGAAGTGTTTACCGACGAATGAGAAGTTTTGGCTTGTTTTCATACCGAGCACACTGGGTCCTCCCTTTAACTCGAGAACAACGACGTAATCGCCTTGAGTGGTGCAGACAACGGTCACTCTGGGATCAGAAATGGAACAGTATTGTCTTTAGTGACGAGTCTCGATTTTGTTTAGGCATGCACGATGGTCGTGCCAGGGTTAGAAGGCGACGTGGTGAAAGGAGGAATCCACAGTTTTTTGTTGAAAGACATGTTCATCACACTGTTGGAGTTATGGT